AGGATCTGGAGGAGGACCAGGATAAGGGAAGGGAATCCAGGCCATGTCACATGTGCTTTATGGTACTACCCACAGGCAGGCATTTTACCTATAGTGTAACCAGGTTTCCATGGTGGCACTAATTGGAATGATAGCAGCAGGATGTGTTATTCTACCATGTATTCTCCCCATCTTTGTGTGAGCAATCTCTAATAGTCTTTCTATGCTGGTAGAAAAGAAGGCTGCAGACAAGGCTATGCTTTTGTGGGAATATGAGAAATTAAACACAGTGGAAGATATCTTTCCCATCTATGAAACTCCACAGTAATCTAGGGATTTAAGTGCAGTTTCAAAGTGGGGAATGAAGCAAAATGGAAAGTTACCAGAAAAGTATTCTTATAATTAGCAGAAGTTTCTTAGCTTATATCGCAAATATTATAGAAGTTGCTTAATATGATATTGTGAAAACCAGAAAATTGCTGAATCTAAGTCTAAGAATAATGACCTATGAACTAGATATGTTCCTGTAAACAGCTAAATGGCAAGGGTGGCAAAGGAGGGTATGGGAAATAACAGATGATGTAAGATAAGTATTTATATGCTGAATTGTGCAAAATGGCTAATTAGACTCACTTCCCCCTTTTGTAGTACACTGAGACTGGGAGCTGCATAAAAGTAACCCCTCAGGAATAGCCGGGGGTTCAGAATTTGCCATACTCATGCTCTGAACCTTTTGCGCAAATAAACCTGTATTCTCCTACCCTTCATGGTCTTGTGTCCTGATTTGGAAACAGGATCTGCTGCAACAATCATAAGGAATGTACAGAATTTTACAAAGATAAAGAACATGTTCTGGAAGGAGCAAAACAAGAAATAGGAGTACTTCCCCATAAATGAGAGTGCTTTCAAACTTTCAAGCAGCAGAGTGAAATTTTAAACACTGTCAAATGTTTTATTCTATATTATTCCTAAACATGTTAGCATTTTCCAAAAGAAAAAGAAAATGTCAATACTTATGGGAACAATAGTACATTTTCCAAGCTAACTTCACAATGACTTTCTAAGGCCCTTTCCACATCAAGATAGCACAATGATTCATGATCCATTCCACTTCTTTTTGACCTCACAATACAAACTTGTGTATCTTGGAAAGGTGAGTCAATCAACCATCATATTTTTCTCTTGCTCCAGAGGAAATGCCATGAAGACTTTTGAGATGCAAAATCTGCATTTTGCAACCTAGATATGTTATCTCTAGGTCTCCCCATTCCCTCCTGTAAAAAAGATATTATCATGTCTTTCAGACTTTCCTCATCCTCTGCAAGGAGCAGTTTGCTGATGCCCTACTAGCAATACAACACACCACTGGACTTTTTAAAAATCATTTTTAAAATCATTATAAAAAACAAATTTGATGATAGAGGGGGGGGGGAAGGCATCATTTGAACTATTTTTTTTACACTACTATTGGTAAACTTGGGAGAATGTGACACAACTTTGTAGATATTCAGGTGGCATTCAAAACTGCTTGAGAAGATTTGAGGGAAAAGCTGTAGTCATACAGAAATATATTAAATCAGTTTTCATTTTTGTATGTACCTATAACAATTGTAAAACTTATATTGGCTGAAAGGAATGCAACATATCTTCATTATCAATATTTGAAAATGATATATTTCACACTTGGAGACACTCACTGTGTTCCTTTTGAAAGTGCCCTTGAATGGATTGATCGTAAAATTCACTAAATCCATATTGTACAAATCAGGCCTAATAAATGAACATTTGTACTGAAAGACAGAGTATAGTTGATTTCATAATGATGTTACTCAAGTGCTCCAATTGAATGATGGATCTTCTTTTCTCATTCTAACTCATAATGTATGATGTGAAGTCTTTGCATGTAGACTTAGAAACATGACTGCACAGGGTTTTTTGTCCTCAAAAGTATCCCAGATTTTGGAGCCCTGGTGTATATATGCAAGTTATATATTGAACCATATCATCCATCTAACACTTTAGGGGCAGTTAATAATCTGAGAAAGATATCTTAATACAATATATATATATTGCTCTTGTGGTTAAGGCACCAGTTAAAAAACATGAGACTGTGAGTTCTATATTAGGCATGAAAGCTGGCTGAGTGGCTTTGGACTAGTCTCTGCCTCTCAGCCCAACTCACCTCACAGGGTTGTTCTTGTGAGGAAAATAGGAGGAGGAAGTAAGTATGTTTAAGTATGATTGCCACCTTGATTTATGAATAAAAATATGAAGCAGGATAAAAAAAGAAAAATAAATAAAATATGCTTCTACAATTTAGAAAAAAGAATATTTCAGGATAATTTTAAGGATATTAAAAATAGCCAATTACTAACTTCAAGGGCCTTAGGAATGTATCGCGTTATGTAAGAATTTATGAGCCAGGAGCCTCAGTTGAGGATTGAAATTCAATATCCTTTGTGGGAATTTTATATCAAAATATATCAGTATTCCTTATACTGCTAACCCTAACCCTTATACTCTATCTTCCCTTAAATATTAACAGAATCCACGATGGACTGAGAATCCCGTCTCTGCTATATAATTAACAATCAAACAGAAAATATATTAATCAAGTACAAATAGCAAACAGGAGAAAAACTTTTCCTCAAACTTTGTTGAACCCCCAAATAAGTTACCAGACTTAATCCATACATCAAAAAAGAAGGTCTGTAAATATAAATAGAATTAATTAAAACTGTCTCTCAGCCAGAGGTGGTATTCTGCAGGTTCTGACCAGTTCTGGAGAAACAGTAGCGGAAATTTTGAGTAGTTCGGAGAACCAGCAAATACCACCTCTGACTGGAGATTTTACAGTATCCTTCCCCTGCCATGCCCACAAAGCCACGCCCACAGAACCAGTAGTAAAAAATTTGAATCCCACCACTTCTCTCAGTGGCACCATATGTTCACCAGAATAAATATCTCCGACTACATCTACCTACACATGCCCATGCCCTTCAAATATCACACACTAGAACCAGCACATACACACACTCACACTCCTCAAGACCCATACCAAGGATAGGCTCCCCTACAAAACAGCCCCTTTGTACCTCATTTTCTCTGTAGCTATCCCCAAAGACAAACCTCTTTTCTTTTGGGAATAAATAAATCTCCTTTCCTCCTAGGGTGTCTGGATTTCATTTTGATTCATTCTTGTGCCACCCTCGAGTTGGAACCCCAAATTATTCTTCTAACACCTTGCTGAATAAGCAAATGGGCTGTAGGGATTCAGAACTGTCAGGAACTTCTACAAGTTATTGTCTATATTTTAAGATTACTAGGAGAAGCCCTTTTTACACCATCAGAAGTGACAGCAAGTAAATGGCATGCATTACATTGCTGAAAAACAGCATTAGGAAAGCTATGATGATAAATTAAATATCTATTCAAGTGTTATCAGGCTGCAAATCTCCCCTTCCTTCTCCATAGAGCCAAGTTATGCCAGGGAATTGTAGTCTCTCTTCAAATTCCCTTCCATGTCACCATCTACATCAGAAATGTCCAACCGACAGCCTGTGGGCCACCTGTAGCCCTGGACAGCTAGTAATGCAACCCCACAAGATCATAAACTTTTAACATTATTTATAATACACACACACACACACACACACACAAAATACATTATATATTTTATATGTAGCCCAAGACAACTCCTCTTTACTCAATTTGGGCCAGGCAAGTCAAAAGTTAGATATGCCTGATCTACATGTTATTCTTCAACAAAGGTACAGGATCCTAGTTGAATAGGTTTTAACTTCTTTCTGAATTGAGGTAGTCCTCCCACTTTCTTTTTCTACAAAGAAAGGGAGGCAGTGAGATTTTGGGTTGAAAAAAATACGCAGTGCTTTGGCTAATGTCTGGGAATTTTATATTCACACAGACTTGTGAAACAGAAAGAAATATTGCAACAATATGTCTTCCACCTTTTCAAAATGTAAATTCTACTATCATCTAACAGAGTTCAATACATAAAGAAATGTTGAGATATAGGAAACATTACTTGCAAGTTATCTGGATGAGAATATTAGTGACTCAAACAAGAAGTATTCTAGAAAAGACATTTGATGACAGACCAATAAAACCAAACAGAATTCAGAAAAGAAAATATACAGTTAATTTGATGGACAGCATTTTACATTTTTACCCTGACTGGTAAATATTGATACATAATTTTGGTAACTGGAGACCCAAGGAGGGATATAAAATGAAGAATGCTGGAATCATAGATTCCTTGCTTTTTAGACAAGGAAATATCCAGAAAGTGATGAAAATATGATAGAGGACAATGCACAAATATTGGAAGCAAAATTGTATCTATGTCCATCAATCACAGGAAAATATAGTACATTGATAAATGTGTTTGATACCTGAATACTTCATGATTTATGATGACATTTTCTCAAGTAAATACAGGCATGAACTACTGAGTAAATACTAGGAAGATTATAGTTCATGCTGAAACTACTTTAATGAACCAAAAGTGACAGGCAAATCCTTTACAAGTTTTGATTAATAAATACAATAATTGATCATGTGTAAATGTGCCATGATAAATAAACTTGATAATTGTTTTATATTATTTTTTGCTAATTAGAACATTAGAACAGAATTACATTTGGGGGAGGGGACAAAGAGAATGATTTAAAGACATAAAGACTCCAAGAAGACATTAAGCCCTCAGATTAAATGTGGTAGTCTGCTTCAAAAACATTACATGTGCTTGGTAAACTGCTAAGCTAGTTACTTAACTGAAAAAGGCCTACAATAGGATAGACATCTTCCATCATGGTTCCAAAGTTTATACTGAAGGTTCAAAACACATTTTTAGTGATACAGTCTGAAGGTCCCTGCTAGAACTTTTGTCAAGGTAGAACAGAACTCTTGCGCGCATCACTGCAGAAGTACACTACTAAGTTTATATAGAATGTTTTTATAATGATGGCTCATTTTTTAGTGTATCCTTTGCCACTTAAATCTCACCTCCAAGCTTCTATGAAGTTCTCCTCCATTGTGCTATTCTGGTGAGAAGGTAAAGAGCTCCCATCAGCCCTGTGGAAGTCATTCTGACTATTTCTGTCAAAAGTACCACATAAACCTCTGGTTCTGTTAAAGTCACTACTCGGTGCCCTTACTGTCAAACTCATTCCCCAGTCATTAAGATCAGCTCGAACAAAAGCTCCTGAATGGAACAAGATCTGGAAAAACAGAAAAATCTGGTGAATGGAAACATTTTTATGGATGCATTTATTTTCTACCTGAATCAATCTATCTATCTATCTATCTATCTATCTATCTATCTATCTATCTATC